CTACCATAAAGGGGATGCTTAGGAAAATAAAGCCAAACTTATATAGAAGTTCAGATCATGAAGAGCATCAGACATTTGTCTAAAATGTTTTTGCAAGCACACACTGATGCCAGATCTTTTCAGCAAGGTCTATGACTGGTGTTTAGAAATAAAACAATTGTGCTACTTCCAGTATGTCGCTAATTCTTTAATATATCTTGTAGTCGGGCAATAGCCTAGTCATCCTCAGACCTTCAGGATGTTGACTTTCCTATTTCTATCAAGAACGTCATCATTTGATGTTTTCAATGATATGCGTTCATGTTATGTTTTGGGGCTACATTTCTGCAATTCTCTACTCAAGCCAGGCATCTTCCAAAACTGTTTCCCAGACTCAACGTCCTGTCTCATAGGGAGCGACCTTACCCTACTCTTATCCAAATCCTGCTATCCCTCAAGAGGCTTCTCTATCCTGAGATTAGAATGATGTAATGCCTTCCTCACATCCTTTAGCACTTATGGTATTTAGTTCTTGATAAGCTATATCTTTTTAAAAATAGAATATTATAAAAAACTCTTGACAATACACAGCCTGAGCCTTAGATAAATGCCTTCAGCCAGCCCAGTGAAAAGTTAGCTAGAAAACCAAGGTTCTGGAAAACAAAGGAAATTTCCAGAAAGGAACATGGAAGAATGAAGAGCCCGCTTGAGGTAACCAGAGCAATGTTTCAGTTCTGGGAGTGAATCGGAAGTGAGGCAGTGAAAGGGACCGGCTTAACCTAGCAGGAGTGGGAATGAGAGTGGAGGATACCTTGCTGCTTTCTAAATTTTTAGTAACTTTTTAGTTTTGCTAACGTTAGAGCTTTAGAATCTGTTCAACCATAATTAGTTTAAATTTGAACAAATGAAACATTGAGATTTGGTGAATAGAAGCAACAGTATATAAAAATTCGTGCATTGTCCAAATCAAATTTCATGCTGTGATTAGAAGTTGGTACCTGCATGAAGATCAGCGCTAATGTCTGTTTTAAAAAGCACAGAGGCATCTAAATAGAGAAAAAAATACCAGAACCAGTAAGAAAAGAAATGGCTGGAAACTTATTTTCACATAAGTGATGGTAAATTTGTAAAACACTGAAATTCTTGCTAAATTGTCAAATCAAAGAATAACATCATGACAAAAAAACAAAAACAAAAACAAAAACAGGTGCCACCATTTGAGGAAATGTATATGATGGTAGAAATAAGGTAGGGAGCCACTGTGAAAATTTCATTTCCAAATATTTGTGCAAAATGTCTCCAAATAGTTAAAATCATTTTGAAAAACCCAAGAAGGGCAACCTGGGAGAGAAATACATTTACTTTAGACAATGAATTCTGTCATATTAATTCACATAATCTTTTCTTTCCTTTTAAAATTGAAAGGACACTATTTGCAATAAGTGAATGCTGCCTAGTTGTGGACGGTTGAACACAGGGACCTTGTGCAGAGGGGTTAATGCAGATTTGTGTTCTTCCGTGGCCTGTAAAATCACAGTACAGAGAAAACAATCTATTTGGTTACTGGAAAAAGCAAACCCTTTGTGGAGACATGGACAACCTCAAGATTTTCTGCAATTCTGCTTTATTTTATTTTATTTTTTTAGGGTGTATATTTCCCTTCCTTTTTTTTTATTTGAAAAAGTTTTCAATTACAATTGACCTTCAATATTCTTTTTTTAAAAGATTTTATTGGGGAATTGGGGGAGGGGAACAGCGTTGGGGAATCAGGGAAGGGGAACAGACAAGTTGCTGTCCTTTTGTTCTTCAGCCTAGTTGTGGAGGACGTCGCTTCACTGGTCCATGTTGGTATTATCATTGTGCTCTTCCTGGGTGAGGCAGATCAGTCACCGGCCATTGGACGGCCACTCACAGCGGCTCTTGGCAGCTCATGCCAGCTGCTGGCCACTCACGGTAGCTTATGGCAGCCCACTGCAGCCTCACTGCAGCCTACACCATTGCCAGCGACTCACGGCAGCCCAGCTCCAAGTCGAGCTGTTGTTCACCATCTTAGCTGTAGAGGGCGCAGCATCACTGGCCCTCATGTGGGATCCGAACCAGGGCCCTGCTGCTCAGAGCTGGCGCTCCCAAGCCAAGTCTTAACCGGTGTGCCACTCGGCCAGGCCAGTATTGTTTGATATTAGTTTCAGGTGTACAGCATAGTGGTTAGAGATTTATATAATTTATGAAGTGATTCCCCCTGATAAGTCTAGTACCCCCCTGACACCATACATAGTTATTACCATATTATTGACGATATTCCTTATGCTGTAATTTACATCCCCGTGACTATTTTGTAACTACCCATTGTACTTCTTAATCCCTTCAGCTTTTTCAGTTCTGCTATAATACAAATCATTAACCTGAAATATAGTTAGCTAAGTTAGAGCACTTCCTGTGATGCAGGAGAGCATTCTGTCTGGTCTCAGACAGAAAACTCTTCCCTGGAGAGAGAACTCTGAACACTGGGGCTGAGGGTGCCCCGAGGGAACTGAGCGTGACACACTGTGGCCAGACAGTAAATATATGTTAAATGAATGTCACCATTTATAATTATTCCAACATTGTTTTCCTTTTTAAAAGTGGCCTTCTCATTTTTAAAAATGTCTGTAGATAACATCCTAACACAATAGATACTTCTATGTTATGAAGAGGTTGCCAATTCTAACTAAAAAACCCCATTTATTTCAGACAATATTTAATATGGTAAGAAGTGATACAAAGAGGAATAAACTTGGCTAGTTTGGACTCTCTGAGCTCTTCAATCCATACTCAGATGTTTGGGTCTTTATAGTTATTATGGTTATTCTTATTAATAAAATGAAAATTATGGTGAATATTTGTGGAGTGGTTACCCAATATCAGATTTAAGAAATTTACATGTGCTTTAAAAAAAAATGCATCTTACAGATAACGGTGCTGTAACTTCCTCTCAGTTGCATGGCTAGTAGTAGGTTATGAACTCAAATAATCTTAGATCCAGAATCTGTTCATGTAATCATTAAATTTTATATGATAGTATGCAATTAAATTTTATGGGGTTTATTGTTATGAATCTAACCACGTTTATATCCTGTTGAAAGAATGTGTTAAATGATTTTAGGAAACTGATCATGTTTATCTGAGATGTCCTAACTATGCATCATAACAATTATTATTTTAATCATCAGCTATGCTGTCAGTTTCATTAGTGACCTTGAAAACTCACAGAACCTCAGACTCACACTAATATATAAGACAAGAGTAACATTTCTGCATTTTCACAACTGGATCAATGATACATAATGTGACACCACCTATCCTCAATCCATGTGGAGACAGACGTACTACATTTTTAATTGTTATTTCCATTTGTAAATATTTGTTATTCCCTTGTTTTTTCCCCATCAAATTAGGCTCCAGGAAAAATTTTTTAGATTTCATAGAATTACTCTAAAATGCAAGCTAGTTTCATATTTGAGAGAATGAAAACATGTATGAAACGAAAAGAACTCATGAGAAGTTGTATTAAAACTACACAAAAAATGGCCCAAATATATACATATTTAAAAAGAATTTTTAGAATAAATCATTTTTGCATTATCTCCACCTGCAAATGATGTGTGCATGTGCATGTGTGTATGTGTGTGTATGAAAGAGAGAGGGAGAGGGGGAGACTAGGAAAGAGAGAAGGCGACAGACGGAGGTGCTGGAACTGTTATTCCAGTACTTGAGAATTTTGTGGATGATATAAAAAATTTAATAAAATAAAGTTGATGAGGATTTTTAGATTCATTCTTAATGCCAATTCTTACAGAATAAAATGAGGTAGCATGTTAGCATTCACGTGGTCTTTCTGCATAGAAGAGGCAATGCACTTTAATAGTTAAAACCAAAGACTAAGACCTCTTCTATACTTCTAAGGAAAACATACTTTTTCTTTCATGTAGATTTACTTTTAATATTCAGTTTGGAAGAATAACTATATCTGAAGAAGTAATTATGTTACTACTATGCTAGGTATATGTGGATAAAATTAAAATGAACTATACATACTTTTCATATAATTAATGCAAAACAGAATTAAGAACTTTTATATTAGCAGATTGGATATGAATAATGCAGGTTCTAAGGGATTATTTCTTCAACAGTATTTACTAAAGAGTTAATGGAATAGTCAAATACATATTTATATATATTACAGTGGAGTAAAATAATAAAAATTGAAAAGATTAAGTCATATGTTCTTCCATGTGAAATATTTTCCTGGTTATAATGCAAATTTATATTCTAAAAAAGGAAGGAAAGAAATGACTAGGCTTAGCTTCAATATAATAAAAGGATACCTACTTGTTATAAGTTCTTTTTATTGATCATAACCATATTTTACAGTTTTTAGCCCTCTGTCCTCAATTGGCAAACTTTAAAAACATGTCACTGTATGAAATGAAACTTGTTTATGTAAGTGATGCTTTATTTTTTCTGTAATTTATTATTCAAAGGTTTTCCAAATGTTTAGTAGAAGGCTTTAAGGATATTTTTATAATAACTTCAATGCTATGTCTCCTACATTTGCTTTGATATGTTACATGACTTACTTTATTAAATAACGATTGTCAAAAAGTTGGACTGTGTGTTGTATGCAATTAAAAACTGTATTGCTCTTCTGTACATGGTGTACATGTAAGTGACCCCATGGGTCTCCCAAAGTGAGCCTTTAACATTCCAGAATTTTTACTGTGCATCTGTTGCTGGCATTTAGCCTCCCACCCACACAGGCTGAGGCTAACTAAATGAAGTTTATGCTAGTGCAATAAAGTACATAAAGATGAAGTAATAAAATGGGAAGACAGTTACTTTATTATGCGGTTGCTAAAATAGCTTCACTAGAAGAATGTATGCACATATGTGAACGAAAATAGAGTGTGCGTGAATAGGAGAACCTAGAAAGTAATGTATTCAAATGGTATTTCTTTTATATCTTTTTATGTTATATATTCCAGATGGGATTTATACAGCTCAATGAGGACTTCATATTTATTGAACCACTCAATGATACAATGGCCATAACGGGTCACCCACACCGTGTATATAGGCAGAAAAGGTCCATGGAGGAGAAAGTCACAGAGAAGTCGACTCCTCATAGCCATTACTGTGGTGTCATTTCAGGTAATGCTTTCTCCTGAGAGATTTAACTAAATATGCATTGTGAGATAAATCCTTTACATTTTTTTCTTTTTTCCTCCTTCCCTCCCTTCCTCCTTCCCTTCCTCCCTTCCTATAATCTACCTGGCCATCCATCCACTAGCTTTATCTTTTTTTGTTAGTGTGGAACCTCTTTTGGTTAATGGCAATTTAATATATTTATTTTAGACTTGTCTTTTTGGTTTTCTGTGACATACCACATTTTAATATAGAAAAACAGAAACTCGAAAGGACTTCAGAGATTAATATATACCATGCCCTATATCTCTCCTGAATTGTGAAGTATTCCTCATGGGATATGGGTCACCTCACTGGAATAGAAATGACACTGAGAGAATTCCAGCTCTCCTGAAACTGATACTGTGAGCTCATGGCCTTATTTTAGTCCACCTCTGGGAGAACATCACAGCTATCTCCTTCTGTTGACAAGAAGATTCTTCTGCTCTTTCTTTTTGTCTCTTTTTATTTGACCCAAGTAAAAGTCATCTCTGAGGTTAAAATTATCAGAGGAATAGGAAGGAGAGTAAAAATTTATTTCTTTGAATTGTATTCTCAGCATCAGACTCTCTTAAATCTGGCAGTTTCAGAAGCGCATAAACATTTCCAACCACCAAATCCTCGCCTCTGTTTGTCTGCCAGTTCTTCACAGAAATAAAATCGTGACTATTTTGTACACTTCCTTACTTCATTTGGCAGAGCTCTGTGGCGTTAGCAAGAATGGTAAGGAAAATGAATGATTTCTATTACTCAAGTAGAACCTGAAAGTTATAGCCAACATTCAGAAAATAACTAGAAGTTCCCTGAGGAAACATTTTTAGACATCTAAACCAGACATCTCAGTGAATATCCACTGATAGGAGAAATAGTTCTAGAATCTGAGGAAATACGAATTTATTGAAGAATTTTTGGTGTAAAGACTTTAAAATTTGACTTGCAGATTTAAAAAAGAGGTGTTAATGTAATTAGTGCCAAGATATTCATTCTAAAGTTGGTTATGGTGTTTGAGGCTGGTTTAGATGTAGGAAATGTGACGATAGTCACATTTACAGAGGCCATAGGTTGTTCATATCATCAGTTGACTAGGGTGTTTGGATTCAGAAAGAATTGCTGTATGTTTCTGTTTAGATGTATTCCTCTCAAATTAACGTGTGACTTCTGTTTTCTTTTGTGAAAGCTCATGCTGCCAGTCCGCATGGGGAACATCTTCAAAAGTGGTTAAGTGGATCTGTCTCTGGGTCACACTGTTCAAGGCACATGATCAAGTCAATCTAAATAGGACACACCCCTTCTCTATTTTTAGAGCTATAGACATGAAAGAGATATAGCAGCTGAACGAGAGTCATAGCATGATGAACAAGCAAAAGAAAGGCTTTTGCATCCAGAAACGATAACAGCAACAACTTGGATTTAGTCCATTTAAGTAGATAGCCTTGTATGAGTTATACTGGAAATCTGCACTGTGCAACTTTTGAATCATATTAAGTTCCAGCTGTTTTAATTACTCATGTACATGGATGACACAAAACAGGCTTTGTGTGCTATTGTGCCTGGAGGAAAAGTTTCTAGAAAATTCTTAATTTTAATAGGTTTATAAAGCATAAATACATGGTTCATATTTGGCAAGCATTTCTCATAAAGTTTTAATTATTTTTTTGTTAGGCATAGCTGTTATATAATAATCGACCCATTTGGATCAAGTGCTTGTGTGCCAGGAGTGCCAAGCTGTCATCAGTTGGATGATTTATTGAGCTTCCTATTTTCGGTTGCTTTTTAAGAAGCTAGAATGTAAAAAATCATTTTAAAATTGACAACCCATGAAATAAAATATTCATTTACCTATACTGATATATCTAATTGTAGCTCTTTCCTTCTTACTTCCAGCTGATGTATTAACATATTAAATGCATGATTCAAATTTGAATAACATGATAGCATTTGCCTTTGTTCAAAGGAATCATAAAGTTTTCTTGTATTCAACTCGGTCGTCCTATTATTCCCCTTCATCATTTTAATGCCTTAGGTATATTAATTTATATGTATTTATTACATGAATATTGTTTTAAAACAGGAACCTTCATACTTTAGGATGATTTTGTCATATTTTTTTATTAAAAGACAACATAAAGGTGGGGAAAACACACGAGGTTGAGAGTCAGCGGCCCTGGGTTCAAGGCATGCATTAGTTTCACTCCAGCTAGGTCTGCTTACTCAGTTCCCTTAAACTTTTGACCCTTAGCTTCATTATTTGCAACCTAAGCATGACCAGTCACCTGACAGGGATGGGATGTAGAGCTAAATGACACAGTCCTTTTCTCAAGAGGCAACTGATGTATTATTTTAGACAAACAGATAAATGAGTAACTACTGTAATGTGATAAGGAGTGCGAGAGACTCAGTATACAAGATCCCAAGCTTCTGATATTAGGGGACTGAGCCTCAGAGGTCAAGTAAATCTCATCCACAGCACAGGGAGAAAAGGGGACAGTGTGTACAGGTCCAGATAATGAATTTTGGGGTAGCACATTATTGTGCTACCACTTCCTAGCTGTGTGACTTTGGAAAACTTACTTTGTCTCTCAAAAGCTCCATTTACAATATACCAAAAGGGGATAATGATACCCGAAGCTCCGGGCTGTTGTCAGAATTAAGTGAGATTATGTGTGCAAATGAAAAACGTATGTGAAATTTTTAGTGCATGTTGTTATTAGTTAAGGAAAGAGCATTTCAGGCAGAAGGAACCAAACATGCAGCAGTATAAAGGCAGGAGAAAGCATCGACCAGGGGAGCTGAAGCCAAATGTCTGCAATATGGTCATGAGATAACCCTGGGGAGGTAGTCATCGAATAGTATAATGAAGGGACTTGTGTGCCCTGGGAAGTACTTTATCTGGAAGGCAAAATGTGGTCTTTGAAGATTTTAAACAGGCAAGTGACATTATCAATATATATTCCTTAACATTTTAGTATAAACTTATGAGCATGTCTAGGACTTGGAACACTACTGAAATCATTTCCATACGCTGTCCATGACGGCTGCAGAGATTATTGTCATTATGTGGAGGATATGATGGACATGATACACGGAGCACTGCTGAACACGCATATTAAAATATCTTCTCTAACTGCAAGTGTGCGGTATCAATTATGTTGTTTTTATACATGCATATGGGTAGAAAATGGTCTCAAGATTTATGAGATGAAGAATGAGCTCAGCATAGTTGATGTAGACAATGAAAACTTCAAAGGAAGCGACTTAATAAAAAGATTGCTTCAATATGCATGATTTTCACACACAGTGGCTAACTTGTATGATGGCGCCTACCATGAAGCTGAGATTCTTAAGAAACCTAGAATGTTCCAAGTAGCCTATTTAAATATAACATGCAAATATGGGTGCCACACACTGACAGACTGGGGCCCACACAGTTTTCACTATCTGGGGCAATAAAGGAAACACACTTTTCTCTGTCTTACATGGTCTATTTACCACTCTTGGCACAGTTCAGAAGCCCCTCATTGTATCACTTTTTATCCCCTTGGTTTCATGTTAGCTCTCCTTAAATTTTTCTTACCTCTGTCTCTTCCATGACATGTCTTCTTCCATATGTACACTCCTCAAATGTAGGCATTTCCTAAAACTGCCTCCTTTCCTTTCTACTTCTCATTGAACATGCTTTCCCAGGGTGATAGAATCCAAATCCATGGGTTCAGCTTCACTTACACATTGATTCGTTCCAAACTCTGTCTCCGTTTTAATCTCTTTCCTGACTGTCAAGTGTGTAGTAACTTCTACTCAGGTGTTTCTCAGGCACTTCTGACTTAATAAATCTAAAGCTGAACCTGTCATGTTTCCTCCCAAACTCTTTTCTCCCAGTACCTACCTAGTCACTCAAAAATCAAAACTAAACAACCCCCACCCCACGCACTAACCAAAACAAACAACAGCAACAAGAAAGTGTAATTCTAGGCTGGCTGAGTGGCGCAATGGTTAGGAGTTGGCGTTGGGACGCCAGCTCTGAGCAGCAGGGCCCTGGTTCGGATCCCACACATGGGCCAGTGAAACGATGTTCTCCACAACTAGACTGAAGAACAAAAGGACAGCAACTTGTCTGTTCCCCTTCCCTGATTCCCCAACGCTGTTCCTTCCCCTCCCCCAGTTTCCCAATAAAATCTTAAAAAAAAGAGTAATTCTAACCACCTCCCTTTTTATTCCCCTAAGTTTGATCACTTTTACTTATGATGATGTCTACTTTCTAATATTTTGCCAATAATTTTATCCACACACAAAGTCAGTCTGTCTATCATTTATCTATCTATCTATCATCTATCTATCTATCTATCTATCTATCTATCTATCTATCTATCTATATCTTTTCCCCATTATCAGTTTATTAGGTGTTCATCCTGTCAAGATAAGTCTTTTTCTATGCTTGTAGGAACATACCCTCCTAAATATTGTAAGTTTATATAGCCATATACTAATATATAACTATAGGTAGGACTGAGATTACAATTAAAAAAACTAATTTATTTCTAACTGCCATAGATCTTAAGCTACTAAGAAAACCACTTTCTTATGTTGTCCTTCATCAAGGTCATGGGTATTAACTTCGGTACTGCACAGTAAATCCATAAGATTTACTTTTAACTATAGTGATTCTGTTGCAGGTTACTGGGGTGGGTTTTTTTTTCTTTATTTTCTTTCTTTCTTTATTTTTTTTGCATTGTTTTATGATATAATGCTTAGTTTCATTAAATAAGGAGTCTTTGCATTTATTTTCATAATACTTTGGTTCACTTAATTAACTGACTCTACTTGTTATTTGGGTAAAACTTTGTTCGTTAAACAGATTTTTAATCTGTATCACTGTCAGAAAAAGTGAGAAACCATAAATTATGGAGATATTTGAGACCAGTGAAATTTCCAGTAATGGCAGTGGGATACAGTTCATGTTAGATCTCAAAGCTAACTCAGTTGGCTCTAGAAGTCAGTAACAGAAGGGTTCAAGAATTTAAGAGACAAATTGATCCTGGCACCACGAAAAGATTTTAGAGAGGCAAGAAAGGTGGAATAGGTGATAGGATAGGATAGGATAGGATAGGATAGGATAGGATAGGATAGGATAGGATAGGCAATTCAAAGCCAAAGCACTTGGAACAAGACTCAAGAAAAGGAATTTATCAGGAACCAAGATAATGGACTAGAATATGAGAGAACATATCTCCAAATTCAAAACAAAGTTAGAGACATCCAAGGAAATATAACTAATTGAATACAAATGTTTACTTCCAGGGACTCCACAAAAATTATAGGAAGGAAATACAAGTCCAGCAAATTTGGGAAAGGCAATGATAACAGTTTAGTGACATCACCAGAATTTTGATAAACGGCAAGGAGAGAAACAGGTGATAACTGATTTAACAATGGATTGTGGAGGTGGTTGCATAACTGTAGAAATTTATTAAAACTAACTGAATTGTACTCTTAGATGGTTACATGTTATAGCATGTAAATTATGCCTCAATAAAGCTGTTGAAGTCATAAAGTCAGATTCATTATTGAAGAATCCCATGCATACAGGAAGTTACACAAAGGATGTATAACTGCTGGATTTTTCCAAAATGAACATAACCATGTAAATACCACTCAGATTTAAAATGGAACATTTCAGTACCACAGATGCCCTCCTTGTGCCCACTTCTAGGCACACATTTCTTTTACCCTAAGATTTCCTATCCTGACATTTTACATCATGTCTTCCTAGTTTTTGATGTTTCTACAAATGGAATCATGGACCGGCCGAGTGGCACGTTGATTAAGAGTTGGCTTGGGACGCTGGCTCTGAGTAGCAAGGTCCTGGTTCCAATCCCATATTGAGGGTCAGTGATGCTGCGCCCTCTGCAGCTAAGATGGTGAACAACAGCTCGACTTGGAGCAGGGCTGTTGCGAGTCACTGGCGACAGTGTAGGCTGCAGTGGACCTGCAGTGGGCTCCTGTGAGCTACCGTGAGCAGCCAGCAGCCAGCATGAGCTGCCAAGAGCCGCCATGAGCAGCTGTCCAGTGGCTGGCGACCGTTCTGCCTCACCCAGGAAGAGCGCAATGATAATACCAACATGGGCCAGTGAAGCAACGTCCTCCACAACTAGACTGAAGAACAAAAGGACAGCAACTTGTCTGCTCTCCTTCCCCGATTCCCCAATAAAATCTTAAAAAAATAAAATAATAAAACAAAATAAATGAAATCGTACCTTGCCTACTCTTTTGTAACTGCTTTCTTGAGCTCAGCCTTAGGTTTGGTTATGAGTTTCATCCATATTTTTGCACATTGCAGTAGTTGGTTTATATTCATTGCTATATAGCTTTTCATTGTATGAATAGCCCCCAATATCTTTATCCATTATACTATTGATGGTTATTTGAATGATGTTCAAAATAGTGCTGTTCTGAATAATTTGTATATGTGATTTGCATGCATTTCTGAGGAGCATATATTTTAGACCCTGGATCACTGGGTATACAAACATTCAGCTTTAGTGGATACTGCCAGTCAGTTTCCAGCATTTTTCCTGATTTAAACCCCCAGCATGTATGTGAATGGAACTTGCAGTTGTCCCCACATTCTTGTCAACACTTGATATAATCATCACTTTATTTTAGCCATTCTAGAGATTTTAATTAATTTATTGTGGTTTTAATTTGTATTTCCCTGAAGACCAATGAGATTGAGAACCTTCTCATATGCTTCTTATTAGCTATTTGGATATATTTCTTGTGAGAAATGGTTGTTGAATTCCTTTGCCAATTTTTCAGTTGGATTATCTGTCATTGATTTAGAGTAGCTTTTATTTCTGTATTATGGGAAAGCATTGTAAATATCTTCTCCCAGTTGGTGGCATGCTTTTCATTATGATAGTGGCATGTTTTAATAAACAAATTTTACATTTTTATTTAGTTAAATTTATAAATATGTTTATTTGTGGTTACTACTTTTATTTGGCCCTGTTTGAGGAATCTTTATTACCCTAAGGTCATAACTTGTATATGATCCTGATGGAAGGCAGAGCCAAATCTTTTGTAACCCATGCATAAGGTTTTAGTAATTACGGGCACCTGCCTGAAATTAGGATGTGTGGGAAAGTCATTTCAGGCACTTGCAAGTAGACCTTTATTTTGTCACTGGTTTCAAAATGAAAATAGTGTTATCTTTTATTTATTGAGTTACTTAATTTGTATGACTCTCTATGCTAGCATTTTACTAATGGGACTTATTATAAGCCCTCAACAACTCTTAAAAGTTGGTGTTAGTATTATTCATTCTACAAATGGGGAAACTAAGGCTGACTTAGTGATGTTAGTTTCCTACATGGCAGAGCTAATAAATGTAGAAGTCCACTGTGTCTGATTCCAAAGTCATACTCCAAAGCCAAATGCCCTTTTTGGTTCCATGTGTGAAGGGACCTTAACTTGGTTTTGCTCACCATTGTATCATCATGACATGTTGGTATTCAATAAACATTTTTATAATTATTAAACACATTTTTTTGTTCACCTTGCCAAGATGGAGGTGCATTTGAAAATTTATTTCTCTGTTGCAGATAAAGGAAGACCTAGATCTAAAAAAATAACAGAAAGTGGAAGAGGGAAACGCTATTCATACAAATTACCTCAAGAATACAACATAGAGACTGTAGTGGTTGCAGACCCAGCAATGGTTTCCTATCATGGAGCAGATGCAGCCAGGAGATTCATTCTAACCATCTTAAATATGGTAGGCAAACTTTAAAGTGCGCTTGGAATTTTTTCAAGAAAACTCTAAGGAAGAAATGTGTGAGTATAATGAAGTTCTTTAAAAATTAACTCATTACTATTCCTTTCTTTTATTGACATCAGTAAAAAAATTCTTTAGGTTTACCAAATTGATCCATCTCAAAAGAGATATCAGAATAATAATTCACATCTTCTAGTAAAAAAACCAAAAAACACCCTTATTGTTCATTTTGATGTGGCAAAACTCTTTCTCTATTTCCTGTCTTTTTTGTGCCCTTCTTTTCATTCTCATTTATAAAAGGCCATTTGTTGAAATTAGCAGAAATATGATAACCTTTGTTTATGTGCTTGGCCCCACCCAAAGTGCTATAGATTATAAGGTGGGAGAAAAATGGAGGTTGGTAATCCAATGGGCTTTTATATAGGTGTGTAAGATTGGATGTCAGTAATGACACTAGTTGATGAGAAAGACCTAATAGCTACAATTTTAACCAGCTGAATCACATGTAGCTAACTTCAGCTGACAATTTCTGGACTACAGAAATCTAGCTTGTACCTAGCATCTTATGGATGCTTACTACCCAATGAATCTTTTGACCTGATTGCATAGCGTGTTGGGTAAACCATCTTCAGGGCAGAATCAGAAGGTTGTAGTGAAGAGCGGTTCTTAGAGGACAATAAATATAAATAAAAGCCAAAGGCAAATGCCCGTTTATAATTCCAGTTACCATATAAGGCAGGATAAGCACCACTGATTCAAGGATAAAGATGTTATGTTTTTGTAAAATTCCCTTTTTTAAAATTTTTACTATGTTTTGCTATCATTTGGCTTGTATTTCTGGTGAACAGGTTCTCTCATGCTTCAGTCATTTCTGTGTAAGTTTAGCGATCTCCTGCACACTCCACCAGCTTTCTGTATAGGGTAGACTAGCAGCCAACCCATGTCAGTCTCCTCTAAATGGTGCTATCTCTGAAAGCATGGGTTTGATGTGCCAGTTTTATATTTTCTATTACAAATTAAATCAATGCTAAATTTTACAAAAACTCAAGGTACCACATGAAACATTCACCTTGCTTTTCAGCATCGCTGCACACACTCCGTTTTGAGAAAACCTGTTACAATGATGATCTGAAACCATTAAGGAACAATGGCCCACGAGCTTGTCTTCAATGGACAGCATTGAAGGGGGGAGCTTTGAAAACCCTGTTTGGCAGCTAGGCTGGGAGAGAAACAAAGACTAAGGGATGATTTGGAAGGTGACATAAAGCAGGCTGGGTTTTCAGGACTGTTTTTTAGAGGGCAGGAGGACACTTGCATTTTGTGAATTAAGAATTAAGAAAAATTCTTGGGTTTAGTTACTAAAATCCTTCTCTTTGGTATTGTGAAAAGCGCCCCACTGAAATAAATGCTTAGACTATCGAGGCTACAGTAAGTATCTCAGACTAGCTCTAAATTTCCTGTTATCTAAAATGCATTAGCTAAGTTATTATTGCTTATTAAGCTAATTTTTAAATAAGTAATAAAAAATTTAAATCTATACGATTTCTCAACTGAATTGAGACTTCTCCCATGTCTGGGCTTTGAGAAAAATTAAGGTGTTTTTCAGTTTTATTTTAGGATTTTTATTTTTATTTGTTTTTAGGTTTTTAACCTTTTCCAACACAAGAGTCTTGGTGTGCAGGTCAATCTTCGTGTGATAAAGCTTATTCTGCTCCATGAAACTCCAGTAAGAAAGTCTTGAGTTTTTTGTTCAATGATGTGGGTGAGAAGTTGTATTCAGGTACTTTTAAGTGAAGGGAATGTTAGGGATGTACTTTTTATTGAGTTAAAATCCAGAAATATCCACGGAATTGCTTAGCGTATACATACACTGGTCTTTAGTTTTTATTAATACCTCACTTTTATTCCAAAAATGGAATGTTCTGAGTTTCCAAGGACCCTGGCCACAAACCTTAACTTTCTAAAAGTAATTTTAAGAAGTCATATGTAATGACAATTTTATTTTCTTTTGTAAACATGTGCTTCTAAAGCCTTTTCTTATCTGTAATTCATTTGAAGTGAAGAATATTCTGTGACGTCATTCTAGCATGCTGCTTAAATGGCACTTTGTAAAACTTTTGTTCTTAAATTATAGAAATAATGAGTGAAGTCTAAAAGTTCCACATTCTCAATATTCCATTGTACCTCTTTCCTATTCCTGAATAACTTGAAACAGACTTTGGTAATTATTGTACCTTCACAAAGTTTTAAGGTTTTTAGCTCAGGCTAAATTAATCCTGAATATCTTCCAGGTTCTAATTAATGTCATGGTCAGCAGTTTGCTTTAGTAATTCAGGAAGTCTCCTCAGGTTTTAGTTTTTCTGTATATCTGAGAATAATTGGCCTTGAAGTGAAATCTTTTCTTTTGTAGGCAGATCTCTATATTGGGCACCATGGAGAGAAAATGCTGGAAAGCTTTTGTAAGTGGCAACATGAAGAATTTGGCAAAAAGAATGACATACATTTAGAGATGTCGACAAGCTGGGGCGAGGACATGACTTCTGTGGATGCCGCCATTCTTATAACAAGGTAAACTCTCCAAAGCCAATTAAATGGCATTCCTAATTCAATGGCTATGCTGTTAATCCTATTAATCCCTTCTTAGAATGCTTTTATCCCAGATTTTGTGTTCCAAAAAACTTTTGGCATAATGATATTAGTCATTTGCCTCAATTCATAATAAGTGGTTTTTGAACTGCCATTTATTGGATGGCACATTGACAAAACATTTGATTAGTTACTGTTTAAAAAAACAGTTTGCCCTCAGTTTTTAATGTGAAGACATAGCCACTGACGATGATAAGTGAAAACTATGGGGAATTTTGGTGGAACTTTGAAATTATGAACCCACAGTGTATCTTTTCCAGTCATCACCATATAAAGTAACCCAGTTCAGGAACTGACAAACTTTCTGGTTCCATCTGAGAAAGAAGTTTCGAGCTAATTAAGTTTGAGTTGCGTTATGAATGTCTGTATTATCACAAGCATATGTAATGCAGCGCTGTGTATAAATATAAGAAAATGAGATAATGAGCAACAATATACTCTATGAGCACTCTTTTAGTAATTATTGATACATATGTCTTGCTAGAGCCAGTAAAAATGAATGATAAGTAATGGTTTACTAGCAACTTAATTTTAGTGCCAATGGTGTTGACATTTCACATCCCATAAAACACAGCATCACTTAAACATGATTTTCTGTAATGAATCTCTTGAATACATGATAAATTCTTGTTGCTGAATTACATAAAAGCTATCCTAGTTGTAAATAATTTATAAAGGTGGAAAAAATCTCTGTAAGAACACAATTGGACTTCCACAATGAGGTGTACCTGATACTGGACTTTTGCAATAAACAACTATAAAACTGGAAACTACTTATTTGGCAACTACTTTCAGTCATTGGAGAATGAGCAGTGCAAGACTGCAACTCTGAAAGAAGGCAAAGTTATTAACTGAGCCCCACAGTCAACCAGGTTTTCTCCTGGGGACAATGTTTTGTCAGCAAGCCGGAATCTCCGTGGAGCACAGTGGTCCTGCCGAGGGCACCAGAGATGACAGTCTGAAGCAGGGAAAGGAGCCAAGAAGCCTGTGTGCAGATCATCTGTGAGAACTTTGAAAGGCTAGTCTGAATACACACAGATAAAACCTGCCCCGAATTGATCAGAGTGCTGCTGCAATGGAGTGTAGATTTTAAAAAGATACTAGGAATCGAGCAGATTCAGGCCTCCGGAGTGGAGCAACCTTGTAAATGCCTTATTATTACTCCTGGCTTTTCATTGAGAAAACACACAGGCTGTGCCTTCCCAGTAGAGATCATAACCAGGGACATGCCTGCCCTTGACCTTCCCTAACAAAGCCTGACATCACACCCCAGCAGGATCTTTACTGGAGACAGCATTTGGAGGTGAGTCCCACCAATTTACAAAGCTGTGGGAATAAACTTGAGCTTTTGATAGATCCTCCCAACCAAAGAATAAACTCAAACCAAGCAATCAGCCAGTAACTGTACTGCCTCCTAAAACAAGTTAGTACCCTTCAGAGGAAGGTAACAGAATCCTGAATCTCAATAATATAGTGTTCACAATGTCTAAAACATAATAAAAATTAGCCAAGCAGAGAAACATGAAAATTGTGAAGCATAGTCAAGGAAAAGTCAATAGAAACTGACCCTGACATAGCTTTGATGTTGGCTTTACCAGTTAATGTGGAATCTCTGAAGAAAAGAATGAGAATGGGTAAGAAAAATTATTTGAAGATGTAATGGCAAAAGTTTCAACAACGTATAGACCTGGGTATGTCCCAGGAAAAGTGGTGAAAGCTAAAGATACAGAAAAGAAAGTTTGAATTGGCTGGAGAAAAGAGATACACTGCACAGGGGAAGAATGTTAAGATCAATG